CGTGGACCCGGCGGTACCTGAACTACCGGCTTGGGAAGTCTGCTGCGCAGACGTGCTCATGGTTGTGGTAGCCATGGCTGCTGTAGCACCGGCCTCACTAGCTAATGCCCTGCTGGCCTCGGCTGCTCTAGCTCTCCTCTGCTGCTGCCTCTCCCTCTGCCGGCGGAACAGTTCCCTATCACCCTCCGGTCCTAGGGACACGTGAGTTATTGGGCCTCTAGCTGATCGCAAAGTCCTGCGGTCATCCTCTCCGGTGTCCCCTTTGTCGCTCATAGGCTACAACACTGTGCGCTGTCTACACTAGATCATTCTAGATGCCTACCACAGCATAGTGCACAGACCAAATAAATGATGGTGGCTATTCTGGAACAGATCTCATTTGGGGTCAAGAGGTAAGTCAAATTCCTACAACTGAAACTATTTTTAATATGACTAGTCCGCAAACAGAAGCACCAGGAACAATCAACAGTTCTAACTAATGTTGTCTGTAGAATCACTTGTGTGGATAGGACAACATGGTATTTTCTCGAACTCGTCACCTGGAATCAACCCCTCCCTCTAATCTACACTTGAGTATCTCTTGCCGTCAGTATCCTGAGCAATCGGGTAGCATGCGTGACTGAAGGTGTGCAATCCGGTCCCACCCCTGTGCACCAGGTTATCGTCGAGCAAGGCAGCCACAACACTCTTATTTATCCTCGTACGCCGACGAGCCTTACACTCGGTCGATCTGGCTGATCAAGAGGCAATTTAACGTTCGCCCCCAAGTGACTCCAAGAGTTATTTTACGTCGCAGCCGGACGACGATCACAGCCAGATTCAGAGCCGAGTCCCCAACCAGAAATGTTTACAGACGGTCTGGTAAGCGTCTCAAGAGGCTGCCACACCCGAGTTTAACCTCTATCTGCACAAGCAGCAGAACCAAAGACTTGCAGCGAAGCATGCGTGTACTACACCCAGTGGGTTGGCATGGTGACCGTGACCCAGTGCTTCGTCCAGGGCCCTTCAGAAAGCAACGCCCTCTTCCCCCTGATGCTCCACAAGAAGTATGCCGACTCTCAAGGTTGAGCGCACTCGACACCTCACGATGAGAGGACTCTCAAGTTGGATCACACAACCTCACGGTAAGAAGTGTCGGAGAGGGTAGATAAGGTTGGGAGTAACGTACCTCAATATTGCTGCCCCCAACCACAGAGATAATCTCACCAGATGACCCAATGGCAATTGCGATGACCAGTCTCTGCATCGGCACAACCAGCATTATCCGCCATTCCACCTCAGCATCAATCGCACATTAGATAGTTCTCATCACACTGTCCAGACCGCATGTATGTACCGCATAAGGCAGAAGACAAGCGCCAGATGAGCGCAATCATACCACAGCTCCGATACCAAATTGCAAGGAAGATGAGCATTAGCGAACTCCAGCAATCAAACAGCATCATACATATGAGTCCAGATAGTCTTGACCTCGAACCAACAGCAGAAATGCATCACGAGATTCACCAAATAAGATCACACCAATAGTTCATAATTGACAATGCTGAAATAGTCTCTCATCATCATCAACGAAGAACAAGAGTTGATATCCTATTGGCGCTCGGCGCCCAGACTACATGTGGCAGATCCTATCTAGCCTAATACTACAATGCCGATGTTGACAACAACAGCTTCCTGAAGTACGAGCATACAGCGGACAATGCCGCACGCTTCCAGCACCAGGTATGTCTCTCGCAACACTCACAACCCCGATCCACACCACATAGATGCCACTAGCACCCAAGGACCACCCTGCGTCACACCYAGCTCACAGCGGAGCAGCTCGGCTATGGCTGCCCGCTACTTCCTGCTCGCCCGTCAGAGCGTGAGTGCCAGCCAGCCAGCAAATAGYGCAGCAGCGCTCGCGCAGCATGCAGCCAGCACCCGAATGCCGAATGAGGAGGCAGGCCCTTCCCTATATCGAAGTGGCCTSCCTGCGTCCAGTCCAGGAAGCTTCCAGTAGGCCCCGGTAGGCACAGGCCCAGACCTCACACGCAGGCCCAGGGCCTGATGGTTGCATGTGCCCAACTGCCCTTGGCCTGCTCACGGCCTTTCCCCCGCGTCTGGCCCAGGTCCCCATTCAGATACATTTGCAAAATATGGCCTGGGCCTGGGTGCCTTCAACCAACTGGCGCAGCGCAACTGTCTGAATTTCACCAGTTGCGGGGTACCCTGAAAA